ACTATACTCGGAATTTTAATTCGATTCCAGATTTGACAATTTCAGTGTTGCAACGTTATGACAAGTACTAAATAGTGACGTTGCGAAATTATTCGATATGGAAATGCAATATTTCTGGATCGATTCTTCTCGTTTATAATTTTACTCTCGTAAACTAAGTATATCAGGAAATTAAATATTTCTGAACCGATAATTTAGTTTTGACGATTAATTAACGATCTGAGACTTTTCTTTTATAATTGTGTGTGAAATAAATAAAAAAATGTAATCATGAAGGAACATGACAAATAAAACAGATAGATGTATTATGGTAATAAGTTATTTTATAAATTGTCGCCGTCATCGCTATCGCTATCCTGTCACTTTCTGTACCATTTATTATAAAACACACACACTGATTGTTTATCGATTTTTGTGTCCATCAATACACTATTATATGTTATTATTTCACAAAATGACAGTAGGTATTGTCAAATCTGGAATCTAATTAAAATTCTGACTATATGTCCAATTTTCCTTAGATACATGCAAGAATGAGTTTTATTAACATAACTATGCCCGAATGGGCTTACTTATATTTGGGCAATAGTTCTGTCACTACTGCCTTGTTGGCCGAGTGGTCGCAAGTCCGACTGCCGGGCAAGGGGTCTCGAGTTCGATTCCCGGGTCGGGCAAAGTATTACTGGGTTATTTATAAATTCTCAGTAGTAGCACGGAGTCTGGAATTGTGCCCGGTATATGGCAATAGGTTCACCCCTATTACATGGGACTCTTAACATAAATAGTGAAAAGTGGGTGTTACATTGTACAGTGGCATAATGTACACCTCTGCCTACCCTTTCGGGAATAAAAGGCATAATGTTATGTTTATGTTCTGTAACTACAAATTGTTTGTAAAATGACAAAGATGGCACGATATTTAAGTATAACTTAAAATTGAGTAGCCTTTCAGTATTTGAGCGATAGCCACATTAATCGATATTTTGTGATTACAGAAACTTGTACTGCGGCGACCAACAAGAAGATTTATACAATTGTTACGAGGCTAAAGAAAATGTGGATACTAGTAATTTAAATATAAGTAATCAAGATATATTGAACAGTAGTGTTAAGAGTCGTGATAATAGTGATGAGAACATATTCGTGTTTGATTCAAGTGAACAATCTGTAAATAGTTTACGTAATAAGTCTAATAATAAGTCGACATTAAGTGATAGTGGGCCCACAGCGGAGGACGATAAGAGTGAGGATGCAGTGAGTAATCTGGATTGGAGAGGGAAGGCGATCAAAGAATCTCCTGTGTGGTGTATGGACTTTTGTAACGATCTTATTATACTCGGATGTGCTGACGGCCGGCTCGAGTTTTGGGAGGCCAGTTCTGGGAAGCTCATGGTATGTTTACTCTCTTTTCGGTACTTATTTTTTCTAGGTTTTTTACGGTTTTTTTAAGGTCTAAGGTTTTTTTTGGGGTTGGCACTGAGTGTAACAAAATTTTAACAAATGGATTCCGGTTTTCCCTGTTAATTGTATTTTACATCAAAGGACTGCCATTTGCCCTGCACAATTATCTGAACATATTTTTTTTTCATTATTATTTTCTTAAAGATAACTTCTAAGTACAAGTTAATTTCATTAGTAAATATGTGTCGTAGTGCATATGGTGGAGTGTAGAAGCTCGAGGCGGGTGTAACTCTGCGGGCGCGACGCACGTGCGTGCGCTGGCGGGGGCGCGACGCGTCTGCGTGGCGTCGCTGGCCGGGCACCTCACGCTCCTGCGCCTCGACGCGTATAACGCAGCCTCAGGCGCACACGTCGACTGGCAGTTCAGCACCGCACATCGACGAAGTCAGTACATATTATATTTGGGAGATTTTTTTACTGACATCTATTTAGAAATTTAAACAAACCAAATATCTGCCCTAATAACCTACAGCGTATCAAAAAAATGAACCGTAAAACAAAAATACTATTATATTTTAAATATTTTATAAATATGTTTTTGGTGGTAATTTCAAATATTTTTATTGAAAAAATGGAAAAATGGAATGTACCTGTACTGTACCTGTTGTTGGGGTCTACCGTATCTTTCATCACCAGATGGCGCTAGTGTGAATTCATCCATCTTCCTATAGGAAATTAGCTTGTCTCACGACATTGGACGTTCAATATTTGGCAGCTGCTGTGATTTGATAAAAAGTCTCTTCCTACAGTTTGCGCTATTTCACGTTACGCCCCTATTACATTACGATTTTACTAAATACTAGCTTCTGCACGCGTCTTCGTACGCGCAACGTCGTTTTTTCCGTTCACTAGCAATTTGTGGGAAGTGCTTAAATTAAAAGTATGTGTGGCTTCTGATTCCAAGCTTTTCCCACCAATTTTTAAACAAATTGATTTAGCCATTCTTGAGGTATAAATATCATATCATATTACACTTCTCATAATTATGTACTTATCAATAAAACAGACAGTGGGATGACCCCTGAAACACAGGTTTTCCTAGCATGGGGGTCATTGAACATATTTATATACTAAATGTCTTCATGAATTCTAGATTAGTGTTATGATATTGTAACGTGTACTTCTTTATTTTGAAAAAATCATCTATTATTATTCAATGTATAGGCATAGATTTTTCTTTTAATTCCCCGAGACTGTCAACAAAGATACATATAGGTTTTTTTTAAAGATGCATGTAGGCTATCACTCCCTTTAACTTAGATTTTGGTTTACACAACCTTGTAATCACAGTGCTTCTTCTGGTATATTTCTATACTAATGTTCTAATTGTAGACACCTGCATATACAGGGTGACAATAATGATTAATATTTTTAAATGTGAATTTAATATGTACAGCGCACAAACGCACGGGGTCTGCTGGCTCCCTTAGAGTGGGATACGCGCCCGAGGGCGAGCCCACGCGCTCAAGGATGAGCTTCTCCTACGAGACAGATTTCAGCGATGGAGAAGGTAATGTTTTTTTATCATACCAGAACATTATTATTATTATTATTCACATGAATACAATGGAAGCTCAAGATATATGTACCTATGATATGAGATTTTATAGTTTTTACTTCCATTTTATAATACCATGTTTCAATACTCAATACTTTATTGCTTTACACATGTATTACTTAAGTGGTAAACATAATTAGGTCACAATATGGACCCTGTCGGGCGCAACAATATAACTTATACACATTGACATGTCATTCATAGAAAAAAAAGTACCTACAATAAAATCAATATCAAATGCAATACAAGATAAAATCTCAATAACAAAGCTGATATTAACCCACAGACAAATATGTTGAAATCATAGTTGACATAGAATGTATAAATCTTACAGAGGTGGTGTGCGTACGGATAGCTCAGTGCCGGCCGCATCAGCAGCCTATCACAGAGATGCACTGCGAGGGAGGACGCATCGTCACTGGAGGACAGGATCATGTACTCAAGGTAATGTAACATTATTATACTATTACTAGCAGAAGCTAGTTTGTCCACGCAATACTGTTTTTCCCCGTAAATAGGAAAATAGTATTGGATAAAAAATGTCACACTTGGTCGACCCCTCCCTCCCCCCTAAGTTGTGACGTAATTTATGGATGGTCCCTAAAAATGAAATTCCGTTCGTTAGCCTCGTTAAAACTCGAGAACGGCTGAACCGATTTGGCTAATTTCGGTCTTAAAATGTTCGTGGAAATCCAGGGAAGGTTTAAAAGGTAAGAAATCAGTCGGGTAAGAAAAGAAATTTTTGTGGCAGTACCGAGTTTTTTGGGTCAGCTAGTGTTGTGTTATTTTGTCATTTGCTTCATGTTTGTAATATTCCGCAGGTATTTTCGAGTGCAGATTTGAACCCGTTGTTCACGTTGCACGGTCATTGCGGGCCAATCACCAGCTGCTTCATCGACCACGCAACCCCTACTATCGCAGGGAGCGGCTCGCAAGACGGCTTACTGTGCGTCTGGGATCTACACACTGGTGTGTAAAACTGTATTTCAAACGCGACAATTAGTTTGTTTCCTACCTCTTTATACAGTTTGACTGCACGGTTGAGGCGGTAGCCAGGTAACTGGCTGCCGCGCAACGTCACGCGGGTTCGATTCCCCCACGGAGCAACTCTTTGTGTGATCCACAGATTGTTGTTCCGGGTCTGGGTGTCATGTATATGTGACCTTGTATGTTTGTAAATGCACCCACGACACAGGAGAAAGCCCTAGTGTGGAGCAACGTTTAAAAAAAACTGTATCTCAAATCTTCATCTTCAAACCAATTGTCTTGAAACACATACTTGTAGTTGGAAGTACGGACGAGATTCGGTTCATCATCAATCATCATCAACAGCCGAAAGACGTCCACTGCTGGACAAAGGCCTCCACCTTATGCGAGAGCTTCGGTTGTTTCATGATAATTGCATAGCTTTTACCCTCATTAACTCGTCGAGTACCGGTTTTGTAGACACAATTATAGAACAATAGGTTGAGGTCACCGGTGACCGCTTGGTGTTTGACAGTTTAAAACTAGTTAAATCTAAATTAGTCAGTTACTTGTCTCACTTAAAAAAAAAACTCTTCGCGGTCAGAGTAATTACGAATTGATCATCACCCTGGTCAAAGGTTTATCGACTCCACAACTATATTTCCATTATAAAGCCAGGGCCAACGAGTTTGCGTTTGAAAAGTCACAAAACATAGTGAAAGGCAACTTTTAAAATAATAATAACCTCTCTGCGATATTATGATAGCGAATAACTTTATATTTTAATACATTTTAGGTGCATGCCTATACAGTATGCAGGCTCACGACGGTGCAGTGACGTCATTGGCATACACCGCCTCCTACGTAGTGTCAGCGGGTGCAGACGAACGCCTATGTATCTGGGATCGATTCCAGGGGCATATGCTCAACTCTATACATATAGTAAGTATCTTTTTTTTCTTTAAAGCATTACCATTCGAGTGTTAGCAAAAAATGTGTATATTAAGTAAAAGAAGTTTTGAAGTTTTCTAAAATCTCCTGTGGCCTTATAAGTTTCGTGAGACATACTAACGAAACTTTTGTTTTCGCTTACTCAAGTAACTGTTTGACTCGACGATATGCTATCGCGAAATAATGCTCATGAATATGAGCCCCTAGAATGGCTTGAAACTAGTCGAGTCAAACAATTACGTGCGTCAGCCGAAAACAATAATTAATATCGTGTGGCAGTATAGCTAATTGGTGGCAGTAATTAAGTATTACAGTTTATTTGTGCACTATTTGTTTTAGAGGATAAATTTCAAAGTTCCTTTATCAATGTCTACTTTAGTTTACAAAATCATTACTATGCTTATAACACTGATGTTATATTTCCAGGGTCTCAACTACATGAGTCGTATGTTGCCGTTAACGCACACGATGTTGGTGATGGGAGATCGCAGCGGACTGACCGCGTACGATCTCAGCAGTGGTGACGTCATCCGACGAGTACTTCTAGGTAATACACCTGTTAAAATGGCGTACTTAACATTTTACAGTGCAAACGTGTGTACGTACGCAAAAACAATTATGTAAATTGTTCGTTATATTAGAATTTTTGTTACTTACGGTAAAATGCCCTCATAAGCGAACACCAGAAGTCGTATTTCATAAAAATAATAATGAAAACGGCTACAAAACTACGCAATACATATTATACATAGTTTCGCTGCGATAATTGTAAATTTATGAAGACATTTATTGTACGAACCAAGCAATAACTACCGAATTTAAGAGATGGCGGTAAAACTAATGTAAGATATATGTATAAACCTAATGATGCGTATCAAAAGTACATAATTAAGGATTAATGGAAATAAATGCTTTGACTTTGACTTTTGTGAATGAATATATAAAAATAAAGTATATATTTAAACTAAAGCAATTTGTAATGTAACACAAGTATTAACACATAAGTATTAACTAAAAATCGCTGGTTACTCACCTGAATATACTGATGCGCGGTCGCGCAGTCTACTACAGACTAGAGTAGGCTGCGCGACATCGCCGCGACCGCGCACGCTGCTCATAAGGAAGAACTCCTCTGTGGTTCGAAACTAGTAGAGCTTTTCTCAGTATATTCACGTGAGTAACCCGCGATTTTTAGTTTATCTAGTATGTCTCACGATAGTTATTAAAGAAACTTATAAGTATAATATACTTAATGTATTGTTCCAGGCCAAAGTGACGGTTGTATCTTCGTGAGACAGATACTACCTCTGAAAGATGCAATAGTCTGTGACTACGCGAATCAACTGCGCATCGTTCGCTTCCCTCTAGTATCTAGATTATGCGATATGAAGAACGAATAGTAATGTGAGCTATGTACACATAGTTTAGCAGATTGCTCGGGGAAACAAACATCCATAGTTATATATTAGGACTAAAGGTGCGTACAGATTCACGGCCGAAATTATTACGATCTCAAACCTGTTGATTAAGATCGAATTTTGACTGAAATTCAAGTAAAAAGTCGACTTTAATCCCTTAAAATGAAGTTCCATTATGAATTTCGGCCGTTAGTAACTTGTTGTATAACTTTTATTTCACATTATCTAAGTTTATTTTCCAATTTCCAACTTTATAACGTTTATAACAAAACTGCATTTGAATCACAAAGTTATTTTATTATGTTACTGAACCATGTTATATATGTTAAAAGTATAATCTGTAAGCACCTTGGCCTTATATCTATGAGATACAGTAACGATAGACTTGACAGTGTCTTACTAACTTCCATATACATTATCTTGTAGGTATTCAAACAAATTGAACATTGCACAGCATACATTAATGGTACCAAAATTGTTTAGAAACTTGCTAATGAAGAGTATTTTGATCGGTTATTTTAACGCTTAATATATTCTAATATATAAATAATTATGTCGAGAAATGTATTACTTCTCTAATTCGTCATTCTCTTAAATGTTACAATCTAAAACTAATCAATTGAATGTTAAAAATCACAAGAATGTTAAATAATATTACCACCACATAGTAAATACATTTTAAAGTCGGTATATACAGAAGTAAATGTATGCCGGTACATTTACTACTGAGTTTAACATGAGCTTCTATGACAATGACATAGTCTGATGAAAAACGCGTTATTAAGAACAAGTCATTTTTTTTTTTCTATTAGTCTGAATAAATATATTAATTTGTTGACACGACACGGCCTATGAGACGGCTATGTAGACATATTATTGTCCAAATATTAAGTTATGGCTACATTAAATGTGCACGTTATTTCATTATGTTACATTAAAACAAATATTGAAATGAAATGAAACCTTTCCTCAATCGATAATAAATTATTTCCAATTTTAAATCTATCAGAGTATCCCAAAATAATGATACTCTCATTAATTAATTTAATTTTAGTCTAAGTTTTCGTACTTTTCTAGCATAAGAGAAATAAGTATAATTTTGACGTAAAATAAGTATGACGTCACAACTCGCAATTTCGTACAAAATTCATTGAAACATAATATAGTTTATTTGGCATTTCGAAAAGTTATTTATGTCGACTTGTGTCGGAATACTGAAACGCTACTCAATTTTAAGTCGTGCTTAAGTATAGTACTATCTCTACAAATTCTTTGTAAAATGACAGAGATGGCACGATATTTTAACACGACTTAAAGTTGAGTAACGTTGCAGTATTCCGGCATTGGATACTTCCTTGTTATGCAACCCTATGTATGCCGCCGTAGTCAGGTTTATTTCTTATGATGTTGAGGTAAACTTTATTTATGTATGTGAGAAAATAATGTTGAAACCTTTTAAATAATTATTTATTGTTTACATTTTAGATCATATACAGTTTATTCAAAACTGTTCTAAAGGCTGTTTTGATATCAATACATATTTATTTAATAAAAACTTATATTTTGTGTAAACTGTACTGTATTTTTTCTTGCACCTCACTAGAATGTTCATTGAATTGAAATCCCCCTCTTCGATCTCTACCACGACACCTTGGCATGTGGTAAACGCTTTCATTCTAATTTTTTTATGGGATAAGCCAGTAAACGAGCGAAGGGATCACCTAATGGTAAGCAATCAGCGCTGCCATGGACGCCAGGAACATCAGAGGCGTTACAAGTGCGTTACCGGCCTTTAGGGGATTAGGAATTTGAGATTTTTTTAAAATAAATCGTTACCCCATACTAGGATTTTCTCCTGTGTCGTGTGTGTTTTTATAAACATACAAGTTCATATACACAATGACACCCAGGCCCGAAACAACAATTTGTGGATCACACAAAGTGTTGTTTCGTTCCGTGCGGGAATCGAACCCGCGACACGTTGCACGGCAGCCGGTTGCACAGCCACCTCACCAACCATGCAGTCAAATTGTTGGTGATTCGGGGATTGGGAAGATTGGGGTAGGGAGGGGGGGTAACTTAATAGGTGGATTGACAACTTCGGAAATGGCTGTAGATGACTTTTTTGTAAATTTTATACGTTGCCCCACTCGAATATATTTTCCTGTGTGGTGCAGTTTACAAACATACAATTTCAGATACACACGAAACCCAGACCCGAAACAAGAATTCGTAGATCACATAAAGAGTTGCTCCGCGCGGGAATCGAACCCGCTACCCGTTGCACGACAGCCAGTTGCCTAGCACCATCCCCAGAACATAATAATATAAAGTTTATATGGTTCTGTAGCGCCAACCGTGCAGTCGTCGATTAAATAGCCGATGCCGTCAAGTTTATTAAATGCGACGTATTAAAGATTAATGGACATCGCACATCTAAAAATGTATCGAATTTGCCTACCGCTAGCCGTCGGTTTTTTGTATTGACGTTTAGAAATATATCATAAGTCATAGGATTTAAAGTTCATATTTAAATGACAACTTAATTGCTGGGTTTGAGCCGTGCTTATTTTAAGTGCGATGTCTTTAAGTCCACTGACAGGAAATTGAAGGCCTGTGTCGACCAGTGTACCTAGGTAATAAAAGTAACTGTATGACGGTCCGTGATACTCATAAGTAATCGACCAAAACATAAAAACCAATACCTAATTTGAATACTGCACTTACTCCCGTTTTGCAGGCGCTAAAAGATCGTATGGTCAAACGAATTGCTAAATAAAGAGCCAAATTATTTTACATAATGATATTTAAAATAAGGTAATGCTATGCCTTAATTAAAATTTCATGCATGCATACACATTTTATATAGGTAGGTACATATTTGTTTGGCGCACCTAGGATGCAGCGCGGCGCGACGCTCCATCTCCCGCTGCGCCGTGGGCCTCGCCCCGAACCGAGCATCTAATCAATACATTCGCACGCAGATTTATTTGTTGCGACCGGCGGATGGGTGCGCCGTGCGTGCGCCTGCTCGTGATTACATGAGACGTAATGTCTTGAAAGAGCATACAGAAGTGAGACGAGAGATTACGTACTCTACTCATTTCACTCTTTAGGGTTCCCACCTTAAAAATTTACCCGATGTGGTGGGAATTTAATTTGTTTCAGTTTTATACTTACCTTAATGTCGTAGAAATCTTCTATCAGTCGAACGTTTGTATAATCCAAAATGTCAGTGGCGGGTGCAAGGAGCAAGCAATCAATTCTACAAAGAATATGTAAATACTATAAATGTTGTATAATAAATAGTTCTATGAAGTAAATTTCAAAGTCAAAGTCAATGTCAAAATCATTTATTTCAATTAGGCCAAAATGGCACTTTTAAACGTCAAAAAAAATTGAAAGTGAAGCTATTTGCTCATTCCAAGGCGTAGATTCCTATGGAGAAGAACGAGCAAGAAACTCTATAGGTTACTCTTTTTCAATCAGGTTCACAATACAATTTACTAGTTACATAGTTTTGCTGTTTGGATTGTGCGAGAACAATGTAACACTAAAATCCAGTCAAAGTGATCAAAAAAGAAAATAACCTTAAGGACAATAATACAGTCTGGACCTGACCAGTCGCAGTTGACGGCGCCCGTTCACGAACATGACACGTATTTAGGTAAGTATATACCTACACATCAGGATGCTTTTGAAGTCGACGATCAAATGGCATCAGGTGATAGACAAGGTTCCAACAGTTACCTATGTATTAGAAAAATATAAAAAATATCAACTTCATATAGTTTTTAAATGACTTATGTATTATCACTAGAAAGTACACCCTGTGCCAGTCTTTTGACTCTTGTTGCTACAATTCTTTATATTTTCGTCGGTATTTTTGATAACGTTATCTTGAATCATAAATTCTGAGCCAACTGCTTTAGTTTGGAAAATAATCATTTTTTGACGAAACAAATCTCCTAAATAAACTTATCACCTTACTTTAAGTGAGTGTACTGAAAAAAAATGTACTGTACCCGTATGTACTGTAAGTTGGCGAATTCAATAAAGATTCTAAAATGGTATACTAGTCCCTACATTATTTTAATGTGACACAAAAAAAACTTTTCAACAAAATTTCGTTTCGATAAATTTATTTGGGCTTACCTCGTATCGTCACGACATGACATTATCATGTTGCTAAACATGTTGTAAATCAGCGAAGAGCTCTTGTTAACCACTCACTTTACTCACAGCATTCGGCGGCAATATTATTGCTAGGAAAATAAATATCGTGGATCACATAATACAGGCGGATCAAAACTGGATTCTGTTTGATAACCGCAAGCGCTCAGCAAGTTGGTTGGATTCTGGTTCAGCTGTCAGCATCTAAATAATGCCCTAAACGAAATCTTACCCCTAGAAAAGTGATGGTCACAGTTTGGTGGTTTAGCACCGGTGTGATTCATCACAGCTTCTTACCAAACGGGGTGAGAATGACTGCAGATGTGTACTTAATGTGATGAACTGAACACAATGATGGAGCAACCAGCATTAGTCATTTGCTCGTCTCCGTTGCTCGTGCACGACAACGCGCGATCTCAGACCACACAGCAGACGATCTCCAGAAGAACTCGCCAGACTTTGCGCCTACAGACTACCTACTACTTTTTCCAGAATTTTGATTACTTTTTGGCGGGAAAAAAACAATACCAGAATACTCTGAATTTCTTGCCCCCTGTCCAGCTGTTTTCTTTAAAAAGGACCAGTAAGCTGCTACTGCCTTAAAACGTTCGTCCGATTAATACAAATAAAAAATACATGTAAAAATTTGTTTACATTTTTTCGTACAACACGGTAATATCATAGGTACTTAAGACCTATTATAATGTTCTTAATAACAACGCGGAACTTCGTTGTGTTGAACCGTTGAATATTTTTTGCGTTCTATTAAGCCACTACAAATGAAGTGCACCCAAAAGTAATAGGTAATTTGTCTTTGAAACAAAAATAACCAATTCTACACGGTAAAGTAAGGGAAAAAAGGTTTTAGAAAGTTGGCAACACTGGTGCGCTGGTTATTGATTGATAACATTCTGTTGTTGGTATTTAAATCAATAAACCATCCCATACGATGAATATTAGTATTGAACTAAGTACTGTCGAGGTGCGTGTGTGTCGGACGTGTTAAGACTACGGTAATAATTTTATGTAGGTAAATGTGATTACAAATATTCTTTTTGTGTACAAGAAACTCGTTGCAGTGTTGTTATTAAAGTGCAGTCAGTAAAGACCGGTCAGAATAATAATCGGCAATATTCCATCTGGGTAAACGAATACCGCTGTTGAAAATACATTTATGACTTGACCAAGGCCACATCAGGAAGGCATACCGGTAGGACTGGAGGAAGTTCCAGGACCTGAATAGCAGTTACCACCACAACCACCTCCGCCCTCATTTGTGTCACCGGAGCATCCACCAATGACTGAGCCTTCGCCGTTACTATTGCAGCAATCCCCATCATCATCATCGCAACAGTACCCTTCACAGTCGCAGCAGCTTCCAGCTTTACATCCACAAGAACATAGACGACCATCACCACCATCACAGGCATCTAGGAATTTGACGTGTCCAACGCGTGCACAGCAGGCTCCATCAGGTTCACAGCCAACTAACACAAACCGTTGTGGTAAGTACAAATTCAAAGGTCCTGTTGGCGATGCATATTATTATGCAATTGCATTTAATGACAAAAATACAAGATAAGGGTCTTTGGTCTAGTAGTTGCAAGTACAATTAGCAAGTGGTCTGAGGTTCAATTACATTAGTTACCAATTGGCATTAAAAATTTTTCTTAATGTCAATAGTAATATGGAGTCCAGAATTGGCACCAGTGTATTACGATGCGAGCTGGCCCAGAGGTTTAAAATGTCCGCTTCTCATGCATGAGGGTGTGAGTTATAAATGAAATTCAAGTGTGGGAGAGCCATGTTTCGGTATGAAGAGGCATACCTGACCGGAGTGATACCACAGCTTTACAGAAAACCAACATGGAAAGTGTTCCATGCGACACAAAGATTGTCATGCGACACAGTGTGAGTGAGGTTACTGGAGGCTCAATTAACCCCCTGCCTCCTCTCTTCTCCAATCTTCCAATCTCCCCAATCTCTGAATCCCCAACAATCCCCAAATTCCGAAAATTGTTATGCCTCTGGTGTTTCTGGGGTCCCTGAGTGACGCTGATGACTTATCATCAGATGATCCATCAGCTTGTGTCCTGGTTTATCCCATAAAAAAACATAGTGTGCAAACCTAAACTTATATGATTTGATTATAAGTTTAAATTTGCTGGCTCGCCTTGAGCAAATATGGTGATTGACCTCTTGTCTGATACGAATGAGACACAATAGAAAACACATTATATCTCACTTAGATTTGCGTTTCGACTCTCCACATATTATGCTTAAACCTATTCTTTTTAAGAAGAGGCCTTTGCTCAGCAGTGGGGCTACACCTTCAGGAATTATAAGTGTACTGTATTTTCTCATGCATTAGGGTGCCGCTGTGAAACCCGATGAGTAGCGAATGAGTAG